CATCTCCAAAGAGGTGCTCCAGGGCCAGACCCCACCATGCCAGTGCTGCACCCTGAGCATGCCCATGTTGTACATGTTATAGATGCTGCACAAGGAGCTGTTTGTACAGAGCAAGGGCTGCCCCACCAACTATGCCCTGCTGCTGCTGATTGCCATGGTGCCCTGGGTGCACCTGCGCACCTGGCATGGGACCCTGAGCTTCAGTGGTGCAGGGGGCAAACCCAGGCTGCCCTGCAATCTCCTCCACCACCTGGAGGGCTACCTATGGCTGTTGATGCATGGCTATTGATGCATTGTTTGGTGTATGAGAGGCCCGTGTCCAGCCAACTCTGGGTGCACGGGCTGCTCAGTAAAGTTTTGCACTGTCTCCTGCCTCCCTGCATGCTGTGGGGGGAGGGGAAACCAGGGCCAGGGGAGTGTAGGCGGGCCAGGCAGGGGCGGGCGAAGGGAGGGGAGGGCCCTCCCCCCAGTGTGGGTCTTACCACATAGCTGGGACTGGCATGATCAGCAGCTCCACTTGGTTCCAGCTGGCAGCGGCAGCATGCAGCTCCGGGCAGTGTCCTCAGATGGCAGGGTGTGGAGTGCAGGCACCCAGCTGGGGGCCCTCCTTGGGGAGGAGCTGGCACTGCTGGCAGCTGGCAGTGACATGGCCAGCCACACCCTGTGTCTGGGGCTGAGGCTGAGGCTGCAGAAGGAGTTGTCAGAGCAGTTGCTGGCCTGGGCTCCCTGAGCTGCTGGGTCCCACTCTGGCTTTCTGGGCCTCTATGTGGTTGTCCCTGTGCTGCTGGGCCCAGGCAGCTGCCTGCAGTGCCCAGTGCAGGGGCCCAGCTTGGGACTGACATTCACATGGTGAGGCAAAGCCCCACGGTGCCTGCAGACTCTGGGCAGAATGCTGGGGGTGGGCTGCAGGCAGGTCAAGCTGCCTGCAGCTGGGCCTGGGTGATGACAGGCTAGCAGGAGCCTGTAGTACCCTGTAGGCCTGGATGGCACGGGCTTGGCAGCTGCACGGCACTGTGGTGCTAGGTAGTGGTGCCAGGGTGCAGGCAGGCCGGCACAGCTGGCCTGCGGCCTGCCCAGCAGAACACAGGGGACTGGCTCCCTGCATATGTATCCCAGGGGTCAAAATGCCTGCACACCTGAAGCTGGGCCTGCCCAGCCCTGGGGCACGAGAGCCTCCCAGCCCGGAGCCCTGGGGCTAGCCTCTGGCTGGCCCCTTAGTGGCAGGGCTGACCAGGAGCAAATTTACTCCCGGTTGGAGTCTATATGTGCATTACTGCGCAGTAACTAACCGCTACTGTGATTCGCTTCATTTACTGTGCAGTAAGTGTGTGTACATGTAGACACATGCACTTACTGAGCAGTAAACTACACTACAGCACAGTTAAATGCCTCACATAGACGTACCCACAGTCACCTAAATATTGTAGTAATGAAGCAAAAACAACTCTTTACTGAAAGATCATTTTAAGACTATTTTAATGTGATTTAATATTATGTGGGAATGCTTAAACAAATATGCCACAGCACAAAATGTAACAGGTGTGAATGTATTCAGTTGTCAGCTGCTTTCATAGTTCACATTGCTAATAAGTATTGTTAGAGGGAATTGATGATGATAGTATCCTCATGGCATCATTAGGGTGAATAATTTGTCAAAGGATGCTATTCCCTTACCTAGCTGGAGCTCTTAAAACAGAGGTGGGAAAATGTGCTGGAGACCTGCAGTCCCACCAGATAAATTTAGAGGCCAGTCTGGTTTCACAACAGACTAGAGCTGTCAGTCAAACATGCACCATTATCAGGGAGTCATGTTCTGGGCTACTAGCCTGCTATGGGCCAAGTAAATGTTTAATGGATTAAACCTCAGGTGGCAAAAAAGCAGCCAACCAGGTATGAAGGGGTAAAGCCTTTGATCTGTGTTGGGGGGAGAAAAGGATTAGACTTGGGACTGTGGGAGGTCATTGATATCTTGTTCCTTTTCTTTTCTGTAATTATTATTGCTAACATGTTTCCGTGCTATTTAGGGGCCTGAGCCAGCTCCTGTTAAAGTCCAGGATAGACTGTCTACTGACTGCTGTGGAGGCTGGATCAAGCTCTGCTCTCCTGTCTGCTCTGTTAACCCATAAAGTGACAACAAACAAAAAGAAAGAAATGCAATTTCCTGTAACAGTTTATTTTAAAGGATTTTTTTAAAGATAAAATTGAATTTAACTTTTCCCCCAGTTGAAAGGGGAGTATCTTTGGGCAAATTAAACAGTGTTCCTAAGTCTTTCAGGAAAATATCAGGGTTTGTTTTCCTGGGGAAAGCAGAACAGGAGAGGGTTGCCGTGGATGGCTCAGAGGTTAGCGTACTAGCCTGAGACTCAGGGAAACAGACTTCCTATGTGACCTTGGGTGAATCACTTAGCCCCGGTGTCCCTAATTTCCCATCAGTACAGTGAGAGAGAATAGTGCGCATAGGATGTTGGGATGGAAAATAAAGATTATAAGGGGATCAGGTGTTATGGAAAGAGAGACCACATAAATACCTAAGTTTGGCAAGTTGGGGCCTGGACACACAACAGTCACACCACTGGAACTGACCTTTGCACTGGCAGAAAAAAAAAGTGGAAGGTTGATGCAAATCAGGTAGTTCTAACCCAACCAGGGTAAAATTGCCCTTGAAGCAGTCAGGGGTAAAACCACATCAGTGTAAGCCACACCAGTGTAGGTATTTTGTCTGCAGCTTACTCAAAGGTAACTTTTTGCTCCTTGCAACCAGGGTGTTAATGGGTCTCCCACTTCCTAGTGATGAGAAGCAGGAGCAGTAACCTGCAGTCTGCTCCACTGGGATAAGCTTCTCATCCTGATTCATCATCCACTGGCTTCCACGGGAATGGGATTTGGCCCAAAGACCTCTTTCTTTCCAAGGATCCTCACACGTGTGCAAGGTCATGGGAAGTTTCAGATCATTCCCTCCCTCAAGAGAAGTCAGAGAGACATAACTGGGGACGGGACTTCCAGGGGAGTTCAACTTTTATTATACCATGATGTAGTGGTTTTGAGGCAGGCCACAAAGCCTCCGTTAACCTGGGGCATCTCCAACTCCCAGTTCACATGACGACCCCGTGTTCTGGTTCCTGCATGTTCATTGGCAGTGTGGCACGAGGTTGAGCCGTGGTAGCTCCAGGCACCCCCCCCGGGAATCTTTCTTCTCTGAGCTGTACTATGTTTTCCTTAACCCCCATGATCCATGTCTTTCTTCCACAGCTCTGCTTCTGAAAAAGCAACTCCCTTTTGTTTCTAGTCAGTGTCTTGCTTAGGCGCAGACCGAAGATATCCATCCAGAGAGTACAGAAGTGGCTGAGCTCTGTTCCCTCTGCATAAGGGGTAGAAGATGTGAGCATAGAGGTCCTCCTGGCATGAGTGTTTCCTTTATTTTATATATATATAAATATATGTTTCTAGATATCTTAAGAAAGAAGTATCAGATAAATGACACTTCCTATCAATATTCTCTTGACTCCTGCTGTTCTACAGTTCTTGATTCTCAAAGCCTAATTTTTGTGTACCTAAATTAACTATTACTGACCACAGTTTAAGTCTATACAGTTAATAAAAGACATTTTGCTTTGCTGCATATAAAGTCATGTGTTTCTTTTACAAGTTACAAAAGAAAAGGCATTAGCTCTGATCAGAATAACTAAATATTGAACATTGTGTGTTTAAAAATATGCCCTTTTATTTACACGTGGGTAAATGTTTTGACTAGTTCATCTAAAGATTTCTGTCCAGTATTGCATACAGTTGTTTTATGCATTTGTGCTAAACACTTGCTGAAGTTTCAAAGTCTGAGCCATGATTTATACACACTGCCTTAACAGTCAGAACTACCTACAACCCGCAGTTCATGCACAAAATTGTCACGCTGGAGACTCTGAAGCCCTGTCATGGTGGGGAAATCTTTTAATTTAACATGATGAAATGCATCTGATATACTGGGATCCTGGTCTGTTCCTCAGTGGTATTGTAGTATGAATAGTAAGCATTACACTTTTTATGCCCTCTCATATCGGTGATGGAGAATATGAAATCTTGCCCTTCACAGGCTGGAAAGTAAAAAAAAACAAAATAAACAAACAATCCTCCCCCCCACCAAAAACCCCCTGGATACTGCAGCTTTATGCAGTTGGTGGAAGTCTGTGGTCTAAAAAGTAGGAGTGATTGTAGAGAAAAGATTACTCTAGTTTACTTTGATATAAGGGCTACTAAAATCCTTTATAGATGCACCAACGCTGGTATTTCTTAATGATTATGGTTTAGCCTTTCTTTTCAATTATCTTCCTAACTGGCAGTAGGGACCAAAACTGATTTTGTCTTTCGTAGTCCTACATTTATCAGCAAGCAGGATCTTATTTTGAGATGGAAGAATAGCACCCTCAAGAGTTGACAGCAGTCCTGCTCCAGAGATCAATGATGCAACAGGCATCCTTCCCTTTTTGGGGGCTGAATTAATTAACTCTTCAACACATTTTGCTGAAACTAACAGGTCTGGGGACTGAAATATCATCTTGAAGTCGGGCTTCTCAATTGATGCAAATGTGTTTGGAGGGTTTTTATGTTTGTTCTTTTTCTTTTTACTCTTTCCAGAGAGACTGTTAGCTGTTGAGCTTTCTAGCATACGGATTTCTAGTGTTGTAGAAAAGTGAGGGACAAAATGCCAGAAACAGTAAGAATGATTTCTTTTGTGTAAAGCTTATGAAACAATTGCCACTTTACTGCAATCCATTTAACAACAATTAAAATTTAATTTTAAAAGGGTCTACTTTAACTTACACAAATGTAACTGGGCTTAAGGAGAGAAATGCTGGACGCAGCAGGACTGTACTTAAAGTGGATAGATAGTTACTGGAACTTGTCTGTTTGTTACTGAGGGAAGCAAAGAACAGAAGATCCCAAATTCCCAAATCCCCAGTATCCCAGGATCCCAAATGTCCTGCCCTTGTTTGAATGGGTTTGAGATGGCAGTTCAAGTGAAAACTTCAGAATTGCTACTATCTGTGAGTGTATGTTCAAAGCATGATAACAGGTAGTGTTGTTTGCTGGCAAACATTTTAGTTGCATATTTCTATTGTGTTGTGCGGCAATTACCATTTATTTTACACGCTGTGCCTGTTGACTTGAGTATCAGAATGGGACCTTAAAAGCTCCAGGCAAACTAAGACTGGCTGGAAGTTAGAAAGATTTTCCCCCTCAAAGGGAAAATCCTGGACTAGAAAGACTTGCCCTTTTGTTGCGAATGGGGCTATTCGCCTGTGGAGCAAGCAGGACCAGACACACGCTAGAGCAGTGAAGAGTCACGCACTGCACAGGTTTACACTTTCGTCTCAAGTGTCTGGCACTGGTTTTGGTGACAGACCAGGGCACCTCTCCTGCACGGGAAGCTTGTTCAAAACGCCCCGTGAAGCTACCAGTCTTTTAGTTGTGCAGGAAATCCTCGACTAGGGTCCTGACAGACCACGGGCTTGCTCCATTCAGGCAACATTTACATTTTGAAAAAAAAGCCTTGCAGGTTTTCAGCAAGAATTATTTATGAACCCCCCCAAAAATCCAAGACTCATTTTTAATTGATCAGGAAAAGCAAGCTGTGCATTTGATTACGCCAACTAGAGAGTTGGGAAAAAATTTCTTAGCAAGCTTTCAGATTTAAAACCCCATCGTCAGGTGTTTTTTTAAACCCGAAAGCTTGCTAAGAAATTTTTTTCCAACTCTTTAGTTGGTCTAATGAAAGATCAGATTTACTTGTCTGCCTGTGTCCTTAGACCAACGGGGCTACAACCCGCACAGCCGCCCATCCACCAGCTGCTGCTTAGCATCTTCCCCTGCGGCCACCACAGACCCGTCGTGATGCAGCCTCAGGACAGCTCGGACACCGCGTCCCTGCTTTCCAGCGCGGGCTGCGGAGCGGCTTGTCGGAGTCCCTCCCCCCCGGGCAGCAGCGCTCACTCCACGTCCCACCGTGATTTCCCCTGAAAACCCAGTGTCAGTGGCCTGAAAAGCATTATTTCAGGGCCATGGCAGAGGATTTTTTTCCCCTATGAGCTCCGGGACTTGTGCGCAGGGGGCTCCCCTGGAGCCTGGCGGGAGGGGAACCTCCACCTTCTTTTCAAAACCAAACTTTCCCTCCCGTTCTCCTGGCCCAAGGGCGCCGCGGGGGCTGGGCTGGGCTGCCGGGGAAGACGGGCCATTTAGGAACAGTGCCAGGAGAGCACGGGACAAAACGCGGGGAGCGGGGGGAGCTCTCCCCCCCA